GAGAGTAGAACTGACCTGTAACATCTCAGCTCTTTCTTCGGCCATTTCTTTGTCGAGCGTTATCAATTCCAGTTGTTCTTCAATGTCATTCACATCTTCACGTTCATTCGCTTTCGACGCTAACACTTCTCGTAACTCCTTAACAGTATTTGTTCATCATCATCATCATATCAAAGTTCAATAGCTTTCCAGTTAATAATTCGAAAACACTGATTAACTTCTAAGAAGAACTCCCCCCATACAAAATATTCAAACGAGCAAATGATAAGATATCAATTATTATTTGAATACTAAGCGGTTGTTCACTACTCTAGGCGATCGGAAAAATGTTTATGCACTAAATTAAGCAAAACATTTGTGGCAGAGAGCATTCATTAGTGCCCGCTTCGTAGAAATCATTGGGTAATACGGACGGAAACTGATCGATGAGTGCAACGATCAGTGTTGCGCTCTGGCTGAACTGATTAGAACAATTATATTGCACACTCATTAAGGTTAGTGTGCAATGATACTTTCAAATGAATCAGATTAAACTTTACACCGCATGCAATCGTAATCATAATATGATTGAAAAAAACAAAATATTCATCAATGATTTCATACTCTGTCTTTCTCCTGCAGTTTCCTCTGTAGGTCAGTATGAGCCTCAGTCATTTTAGCCTTATATTCAAGCAATGCTTGAAGTTGTATACGATTCCTTTCATATTCCACCAATTTTCGTTGATCTTCTTTGCGCTTTTCTCTATAAAATAAATCGAGAAAAATACCAAAATTATAACAACTCAACACAAGCAACACACTTTCGGTTTACTCTCATCTTACTCTTCCTGAAACGTATTTTGTATTTCGAATTCTCGCCTGCTCAAGCCTCTCTGCTGTGAGCTTCATCTTCTGCCGAAAGTCTCTCGTGAGGATGGAACAGTTTAAAAATTCGATAGCGTTCATTCTGTGAAATTACATTCACGGTTTTTCTCTCTATTTTCCAATTAATTTCACGTCAGACCGTTGTTGCATATGATATTACTTGGTAAGTGCATGCGGCTGAATAATAATGCGAGTACTGCATTACTAATACATTTTTGGCGATCTCATCAATTCTTTTCGCACAATCAGCAATCGCATCGTTATTCCATAATAAACTGATATAAGCAAAGAGATGAAAGTTCGTTTGATGATTTGATTACAATCTGAATATGGTATAAAAATAACCTCAAATTGATGAGTTTATCACTAAGTTCTTTATTTTCGATTCGAAGATACTCCAACTCACTTCCTTCTTCCATTCCAACCGGACGAACGGCTGGTATTGATAGTGTTGACTGAATGTTCACATTCATATTTATGAAATTCAAATCAATTGTCATTTTTTCATTTATCTACTCTTTTTGTTTATTATCAAAACGAAACAAACAATTTCATGAAGTAATCAAAATCGAATTGCCCACAACAACACCAAAGCCACACGCTTCATTAGTGAATTTCAACGAAATTCCTGAATTAACGTCTAACAGAAGAACCCTAATTGTACTGAGTCCTAGCTAAAGTTAGAATTAAAAAGATTTGTTTCGTTGCCCATTGACACAACAAAATTTGAGCTTCGGTCGTTAGCCAACAGTTTTCTATCACTACCAAAAACTGGCCTTGTTCGGTTCCGGTCAGTGGCACCGAAGTTTGGTTTTCGCTTACCACCAGCCGAATCGGGTTCAATCGGTTCGATGTCTACCAATTCAACTTTGATCCTATCCACTGGCCTAAGTCTAAGTCAGATGTTGACTCCGGAAATAGGCACATTAGGGAACTGAACTGAATTTGTTTGTATGGAGTTGACGAACGATGATAACGTAAAGTACATAGTCAACTGAAGTAGTGAATGTTGTTAAGGAGGCTTGCTGTTCCATGCTAGTATGCGTTATCTTATGCCATACACTATGCTGC